ATGTCTTCTTTGAAGGTCTCGTCTCCTTTCACTTTCAGACCTCACTCTGCCCCTGTCTCCTGCTACCTCTCTGACTGCTCTTGCCCAGTCTCCTCCCCTGACTCTTCCTCCTCTGACAGCCGCCTGCGTGCTTTTTCCCAGGGTCTTGTTCTTGGCGTTCTTCTCACGGTTTGCCCTCCTCAGGATATCCCACCCATTCTGAGCACTTAGCTACCACTAGGCACTGACTTCTGAACCTCTGTATTCAGTCCAAACGTCTCTCCTGACCTGCAGCCCTGTCTTTCATGCACACCTAGATCTCCTATAACCATAATAGGCTGGCTACTCATCTTCCCTGTTGATCTTAGTTAATGTCATTACACTTCCACCTTATCTTTCTCCCTTACTCCCAGACCCCTGTCTAATCAATAACTACTAGAAGCCTGGTGCACGGATTCGTGCACCAGTGGGGTCCCTTGGCCTGGCCTGCGCCCTCTTGCAATCCAGGACCTTGGGACTCTTGCAATCCAGGATTCTTGAAAATCCAGGACTCTTGCAAACCAGCTGCCGGTTTTGGCCTGATCCTTGCAGGCCCAATCCCTGCACTGGACCTCCAGTATGCATCTAAGATCTTTGGTTAATCTCTTCCCCCCTCCCCCCTCCACCCTTCCCTCTGAGATTCATCAATCTGTTCCATGTTTCCATGCCTGTGCATTGAGCATCTGCCCCCGGTGGTCAGTGCACATCATAACTACTGTTCTAATGGTCAAACGGTTGAATGGTCACTTAGGCTTTTATATATATAGAAGATGTCATCAGTGCTACTTCTAAATCTCCCTTGGACTACTTTTCATCCCACTGCTGCTATGGTGATTCAGACCTTAATCTCTTCCTCAGTCTGTTACAGTGGCCTTCTAGGTGGGTTTCCTCGCTGGAGTCTCCCCTTAGTCCAGTTCAGCCTGCTGCAAAAGTTTTATTTTTTTTAATATGTGATCACAACTCCCTCCTATTTAAGAATCTTATATAATAAAAGCCTGACATGCTAAGTGTCCAACAGTGTGACCATTTGACCAGTCGCTATGATGCACACTGACGACAGGGGCCAGACGCTCTGACCCTTAGGTTAGCTTGCTGCTGGGGTCTAGCTGAGCAGGACTGGGTGAGTTGGGCTGGACATGCCCTGGAGCCCTCCAGCGGCCCCTCCCTGGCTCTGATTGGCTCCAACTGGGACTGGGCGAGATGGAGTCAGACATCCCTGGACAAATCCGTGCACCGAGTCCATTTCGCTGGGCCTCTAGTCTCTTATAATTACTTACTATCTTATAATTACTTACTACCTTAGCTGTAAATCAAGGTTCCCTTCAATATGGTTGTAACTTACCTTGCCAGTCATTTTTAGCCTGCACCAGATTTTCCCTCTTTTCTTTGAACACAGTTGGCCTTTTCATACCTTTGTGCTTTTTCTCATCTTATTCCCCTAAGAATCTTCTCCCCTTGGCCAACTCATCTCCTCCTACGGGCCCAATCCATATTCAGCACTTCAGGAAAGAATCTTCTTCAGCTTCCAAGTCAGACTTCGGGGCAAGAGATATGATATTTAAAGCAATGGACTGGGTGGGCAATCGTAGATGGCCATGCCCAAGAGGGCCCCCAACATTCAGAAATCAGAAAGGACCCAGCAAAAGAGACGTAAAAGGAACAGACAATGAGGTAGGAGAGAAGCCGTGTGGTATGAAGTAGCCAAATGAGGAAAATGTTTCAACAAGAAGGGAGTGACCATTGGTGCCACGAAGCTGCTGAAAGGGCAGTAAGATGAGGATGGATAATTGACCATTGGATTTGACAACATAGAGGTCATTGCAACCTTCACAGGTGTGTTTTCAGTGAAGTCACGGGGTGGAGCATAAAGCTGATTGGAGTGGCTTCAGGAGAGTCAGTAATGAGAATGTTGATGTTTCTTGAATGGGTGAAGTATTGGACAATTGAAGAAATAATGTCTTAACCTCAGGGGGAAGACAGGGGAGGGTGGGTGGGAAGAGATCAACCAATGAACTTGTATGCATATATGCATATCCCGTGGACATAGACAATGGGGTGGTGAGGGCCTGGGAGTGGCAAGGGTGAGGGAGGATGGGAGCAGGCTGGAAGAGGTTAATGGGAGGAAAAGGAGGACCTATGTAATACTTTCAACAATAAAGATTTTTTAATTAATTAATTAATTAATTAAATGAGAGCATAAAAGAAGAAAAGATATGATGTCTTAGGATTTCATAATTAGTCAGGAACCAAAACAGGTGAGCTATTTTGAAATATTAGAATTTTGAACTCTGAAATTTTTCCAGATAGCAATCGGGATTTAGTGATGCAAACTTTTTTTTTTAAATTGACTTTAGAAAGAGAGAGAGGAAGGGAGAGAGAAACATTGATTTGTTGTTCCACTTGTTTATGCGTTCATTGGTTACTTCTTGCATGTACCCTGACCAGGGATCAAACCTGCAACCTTGGCATATCTGGATGACTCACTAACCAACTGAGCTACCTGGCCAGGGCGCAAAGCTTTTCTTAAGAGACAAGGGAATTAAAAGAATTTCAAGGCAGTAGGGTTAGTCTGGGAGAAAGTTCTGTATGAGTTCTCTAGCAGTTGCATTTTATCCTGGGACCCACTTCCTAAAGGCCTTCATGCAGAACTTCTCAGAGGCTTCAGGGAAGAGCTGTCCCTTCAGGGACTTGGTGGAGGATTTTCAGAACCTATTTCCAAACATCTCTTGCTAGTTTGTGGGGATGCTAAGAAGCCTATAAGGCTGGTTCTCATTATTTTGAGTCTGTGCAGCACCAAGTATGAATGGTTAGAAAGAGGTGAACAGGATAAATTGGATCCATCCAACACACTGCATTTGAAAATGTTGTATTTGGAAGAATTTCTATATAAAATTTTTATACTGAAATAATAACAGAGATAGGCTAAGTGATCACCTTTATTTGATAAATGGGTAGGATGAACACTTACCTGTCATCCCCTAGAATAGAACAGTTATGAAATATAAAGAATACAGACCTTGGGTAGACCAGACCCTGCCTTTGATTGTGTGCTGTTTGATTGTGTGCTGTGACATTCCTCAAATACAGTTTCAAAAGGCGCATTGATGCCTGAAATACACAACTGCCCTTCTTCCTAGCATGCTCAGATCTAGGAACACCTTCTCTAGGTCTTCCTCACACTCTCCGACAGAGGCCAATCCTCTCTCCTTGCTCCCCAGACCATTTACCCGTGGGCTCCATCTCCACACCTACCCACACGGAGCTACAGTTGTTTTCTCCTCTGGCTCCCTCATTCAACTGTGAGTTTCCTGAAGTCAATGATTTTGTCTTCTTCCTATTTTTATCTTTAGCTTCAAGAATAGTGTTGTGCATTTTGGGCACACAAGCAATGTTTGTTGAGTAGATGCATGAATGCTTAAGAGTGTGAATGAGTGAATGAATGAGTGAGTGAATGAATGAATGAATGAATGAAGTGAATGGGTATATGAAAAGATCAGAAAAATGTTAACCCTCAAATGGAAGCTAATACAAGCATAAAAGTGTCAATGACTTTACATATATGCAGATTTTATGCATCTAATGGTACTTTCCAAATCCTATTGAGATGATGAGACCTCGGCAGCATACATAATGCATAAGAAGAGGAGAGTGATACACACATCGGCTGATAACATGTGTGGCACGAGATGATGAGAATGGTGCTGATTAACATCAGAGTTCAGGGATAGGAATTAATTGCTTTTGATCTAGATTTGTTGAGCACATGAACATTTTGGTTTTAGTTATTTCTCTTAAGCAAAGTTTTTTCATTTTAGAATTTAAGGGTAAGATATACCTTAATAGACAGGTTTATCTAAAGCATGGCTTCATTGTAAAAAAAAAAAAAAAAAAAAAAGGAAGGAAAGAAAGAAAACCAACAGCTATTATATTTCTAAAATGGAAGTTACATTGAACCAGTTATTTTATTCCCACATGCCTCAGTTTCTTTCATGCAAATTTGTAAAATGATGATAGCCCTTACTAGTATTCACATTATAAAAGTGTTGTTACTGTAAATTAGATCGTAGAAAATGGGTTATGATGTCTTCTTTGAAAGCTAAGCACTATACACAAATGAGGTATTATTATTTAGTTTTTCCTTTTCGATCTCGTTAAATGAGAATTAGATGGAAACTCCCCTTCAAGGACTATCCAGTGGGTAAATGATTATTGACTTGAGTGAAATGAAAAAAACACACACACAAAAAAAACTTCAGCTGTAAACTCAGTTTGTGCAGCTTAGCTAGTCCACGCACAAGGCAAAATGATTGTATTTATCTATGATGTTTACCACTATCCTCTATCTCCTCTTTGTGCTCTAATCACAAACTGAAGACGGCTACGCCTGTCAGTTCAGTCATAGCATGCATTTTGGAGAACATAAATATCCTGGAATGATTACAAGTAAGAAATAATGTTTCAACTAATCAAGCCATGCAGCTAGTTGTGTGATTGGCTCAGAGCCTAAATGAACACTGTCAGTCAGGCCTTCACCTCAACTCCTGGTTCTTAAGCTTGGGAAGCCTTTCAATGAGTTGCTGCTGACGCTTCCGTGCTATCTTCTGTTATGAAGGCAGGAGAGGGCTTGTGAAAATAAGGTTGTTGTGAATGCCAGAAACTTTACTTTCTGTGATGAAGGCATGAGAGCGAAAACAGTACCGTGAAAGGATTCAGGATACAGAGCTGGTGGGATATACACCCCTGGCCAGCATAATTGCACCTGGCCTCTGTGCATGTATAACAGCGTCAGCCCATTTCTAGTTCTTGGCCCCTGCACTTGGACTGTCCCAGCTCCTCCCCGTCGGCCGGACCCCTTACAGTGTCCATCCCTTACGTCTTGGCTCACCTTCAGTCCTGAGGACTAACCTTCAGCATTACTTGCACTTGTGGTCATCTGTTTTCCACCTGACCCATTTATTTTGGCTTCCGGATTTTGCTCACAGAGAACCCCTGCCTGACTGGATAGTTGTCTGGCCAGCTGTGGGGCCAGCTGCCTGCTCCCCTCTCCAAGGTGACCAAACTCCTTCCCCCTCCCTGTAACTGGCCCAATGCATGAGCTACGGCAATAGGTGAGCGACAGTGACAACGCAACAAGTGCTTCTGACCAGGTTTCACCTGTGACGGTCATTTCATCGGTGGGCTGCTCAGGTGCCCATTCACGCACCTCATGGGCCTTAGGTCCAGGGAGCCTGCGTGGACCTGAGGGATCTAGTGAAGGGATGTGGGTGGAAGAAGCCTTAAGAAGAGAGCACGAAAGGCAGACCTAGCTTACTCCACAGTTTTAGCCGCATCCTGCACTGGTTGTGAGATGCCTGTCCATCACCCAGGCCACCCCTCCCAAGAGCATTGCCTTGTGGTCAGGTGAGCTAATGGAAAGGCGGTGAGGGAGCCTTCACAGTGGCCCCATTTCCCCACCATTGAGAAGAAAACCCAGGGATTGTATCTTCCACTTTTAAGGCAAACTTTTAAAAACAGTTGTCTACGTTCACTGGTTCCATTTGTTCAACTCACTATGGCCTGGCATCTGCCTCCACTGGCCCTGCTTCTGGCCAGGAGGTGCTCATCCATGGCACTTCTCCGTCTTTTTCTCATCTGATTTCTTGACAGCACCTGCCTTTGTTGACCACAGTCTGCTGGAAACGTGCTTTCTCTTGTCCTCTGTGATGCCTCATATTCCTGGTTTCCCTCCTAACCTTCCGGCTGCCCGTCTCACTCTCTCTTCCGGGGATCCTTTCTCTGCCCACCTTTAAGCTTTGGTGTTCCTCTGGGTTCTCTCCCGGGCCCCACCCTCTCCCCCAACATTCACCCAGGGCATCTCCTTCATCCCTTTGGATTCTATTGTTGCCTGTTACGTACTGGTGATTCCTAAACCTGTATCCTCAGACTTTTAGATCAAACTGCCTACTGCTACCCTGAAAATATTCCCCAGGAACCAAACATGACCAGGGCTGAACTTGTCCCATTCTCCCCCAAATCTCCTCTGTTTTGTATTTGTATTTTCGCTGTCTCAGTGATAGCATTGTCCACACAGCTGTTCAAGTCAAAAATCTGAGCAGCAGTCTTGTCTTCCTTCCCTTTAAAACTCAAACATTCTAGCAATCACAGTTTCAGTAGAATCTTCCTCCTCTGTCACGTGGCTTGTAAGGTTATGAGTAATTTGGTCCCACGGACTTTCCTGGCCCATGTCTGACCGCTCTGCCGCAGCTGTGCCGGACAGTTTTCAGTGCTCAGGTGCTCGGCACGCACAGCATGCATCTGTCCCCTTCGGAACTTGCATCCACGGAAAGAGACCTGCTTCCCCTCGCTCCTGGACAGACTCCGTCACACTTTGTAAATCTTCGTGTAGAAGGCACTCACTTCCAATCCCCCCAGAGTTTGGGTTAGGTGACCCTCTTAGAGCTCTGGGTGCTTTTCTCTTCATAACACACTGCTTTCTCAGAGCTGCCTTTCTGGCTACTGTAAGGTCCCTGTAAGCAGGGACCATACTTTCCCCATTCACCTTTGCATTCCTAACACCAACAAAGCATTTGGTACAAAATAGATGCTCAGTGGAGATGAATGAATATAAATGTTAAAACTGTCACTACATGGAAGCAACCTAAGTGCCCATCAGTAGATGACTGGATAAAGAAGATGTGGTACATGTTATACAATGGAATATTACTCAACCATAAAAATGAATGAAATCTTATCATTTGCAACAACATGGACCTGGAGAGTGTTATGCTGAGTGAAATAAGTTAGTCAGAGAAAGACGAGTACCATATAATTTCACTTACATGTGGAATCTAAAAAGCAAAATAAAGAAACAAAACAGAAACAGACTCATAGGTGCAAAGAACAAACTGATGGTTGCCAGATGGGGGATGGGTTGGGGAAGCTGGATGAAAAAGCTGAAGGATTCAGAAGTAAAAATTGGTGGTCACAAAATAGTCACGGGGATACAAAGTACAGCAAAGGGAATATAATCAATAATATTGTAATAACTATATGACTCCCAGTGGGCACTAGACTTATTGGGGGGATCACTTTGTAAATTATGTAAGTGGTTAACCACTATGCTGTGCACCTGAAACTAATATAAAATAATATTGAATGTCAACTGTAATTGGAAAAAGTCTTATTGTGAGAATACAAAATCAATTTCCAATCATAGGGTGCAATTAAGATTTTACTAAACAAAGATTTAACAAGTCTCTCTAACATGAAAAGGACTAGAAGATTAAAGATATTAAGAAGAATTTATTAATGTTAGAATCGTGAGCAGAGAGTAGCTGATAGAGGTAGATTTCAAATCGGTCCCTTATGGGCTTCTTTTCCAGAAGCCAGTGTCCAGGCCCTGGGAGCCGAGGCTGGGGCCACCCAAGCACTCCATCCTCTTGACTCTCCATAAACGATTGGACTCATAACACAGTCCATACTTGAGAACATGGGGCTTGGAATAAGGTAAGAGTTAGTTTTTCTGCTTTTTCCTCTATTATTTAATCTCCAACCATATAGTATACTTGCATAACAAAATTCTAAAATTCTCTCTCTCGAGTCCTCATCGGGGAGGTGTGACTGCTTCCCTGCTAGCCTCACTGGTCTCACAAGGTTTGAATATCCTATGCATGTGAAGAAATGTGAAGTCTCTTGAGGAATTATGTCCTTTTGAATTTTCTTATTTCATGACTATTTAAATTCTTCATCATTAATCTCGATTTTTCCCCAGTATAACTACACATAGAGAAAAATGAGTTTTGAGGAATCAGAAAGACTTGCTGCCCACTCTGGGACACCTTCTGGGCCAGATGCATGCTCAGAATGCAAGACATGAGCAGGGCAATCAAACTTCAAAACAGCTCTGCATTATCCGTACTGTCTATGAACAGCCCCACAATCCACCCCCACAATTAACTTTCTCTAGCCCCTTATCTGCTTTAGTTTTTCATTAAAAAAAAAAACACCTTAGCATTATGTATTGATCTTCTTATTTATTTATTTAAAAAAATATTTTTATTGACTTCAGAGAGGAATGGGGAGGGAAAGTTAGATAGAAACATCAGTGATGAGAGAGAATCATTGATGGACTGCCTCCTGCATGCCCACTGCTGGGGATCAAGCCCGCAACCCATGCATGTGTCCTTGACCAGAATCGAACCCTGGACCTTCTGGTCCACAGGCCGATGCTCTATCCACTTACCCAAACCAGCTAGGGCTTATTTGTTTATTCTTTATCTCTTCTACTAGAATGTAAGCTTCATGAGTCAGGGAGTGTGTGTGTGTGTGTGTGTGTGTGTGTGTGTGTGTGTTTACCACTATGTGCTTAGCATTTGGTACATAGTAGGCACTCAATAAATATTTGTTGATTAAAAAAAATGATGTCTTTTTATAATTTTGAAGTGGCTGATGCACATCTAGATCTCCAGGGATCTGTACAAGTCTGGTTTGCAGCCTCGTCGCCCTTAATGTTTTATTGATGATGAAGATGATAGCATTGATGGCATGCTGAACACGTCTAGAGATGACACACAACTAGGAAGAATAACAAATAAGTTGGATGATACAATCTGGATTCCCCTCCCCTGCAAAGTGTCATAATGAATCACATCTATACATATAAAAGGCTAATATGCAAAGTGTCCCCCGGGAGTTCGACTGAGAGAGCGGAGTGCGATTGCTCACTATGATGTGCGCTGACCACCAGGGGCAGCATGGAACAAAGGAAGGCCCAGGCCAGCAGCCAGCAGCCAGGGAAGGGAGGCCCTGACTGGCAGCCGGAAGGCCCCAATTGGCCCTAATCACCGGCCAGGCCTAGGGACCCTATCCATGCATGAATTTCATGCACCGGGTATCTAGTTTCATTATAAAGTCAATGGGGACAAATACAAAGTACTCAAAGATCCAAAAATTTAATTATACAAGTACAGGTAGAGGGTGAGATGGCCTACAATTGCTCACGTAGGAAGGTTTAATCTCCTACTGATTATGAGTAAAGGATGAATCAGCACAGTGTGATGGAACTTACAAAAAAAATCAATCTTTTGTTGTGTTAATAGAAATATAGTGTTCAAGTAGGAAAGTTTCTCTAGTGCTCACTGGTAATCAGGCCACATTTGTTCTGTTTTATGAATTCTGATCTTCAGCCTTTAAGGGAGACATTGATAAGTGAAAGGTTTTTCAAGATTAAAAAGGGATAACAAGGGATCTGGTAATCAGTGTCCTATCAGGGACTATTAAAAGAGCTAAGTCTGTGTGTGGAAGTGTGAGGAGGAGGGTGATAGCCAGCGCCATCCTGCAGAGGAGAGAGTAGATTTCTTCTGAGTAATCCCAAATGACAGATCAAGGACCCATGAGTGAAAGGTGTAAGCATGTATATCATAACCCACTAGAATATTCAACAATTAGATTTTCCCAACAGTCAACTGGACAATTTCTAGAGGTTGTAAGTTCCCTGGCCGTGGTGGTATCCAAGCAGAAGCTGGGCATTCATTCACACCCTACTCACTGAATACACTTGTGATGGAAGTTCAAACACTGGGGTGTTTGGATTGTGTTCATCACAATAGCAAGCACATGAGTGCTTATTACTTGGCAGGTACTATAAAAAGTAATTAATGTGGGTTGCTATTTTTAATGCTCACGTCAATCCTACTAGCTCCATCTTATGTATGAGAAAAGTGAGGTTTAAAGAGGTTAGGTAACTTGTCCAAGTTCTTACACTTTGTAAAAACAGAGCAAGAATTTGAATTTAGGCAGTTAGATCCCTGACCTTTATTATGCTGTAAAGGGCTCCCACTTCTAAAACACCATTTGTTCCCACCCTGAAGTTCTGTTTGTAGTAATCAAACCAAGGAGCTTATAATCTCTAGTTGTAAATAATTCTATAAGTAAGTAGGTCCCTCCAATACAGTATGTGAGAATTAAATTAGCCTGGGCATTTGCCACTTGTGGTACATACACTATGTGGAGCCCAGCATAGGACCTGGCACACAATACGTGCTCAGTGATTATGTATTAAGTAGAAAGAAGGAGTGGATGCAACTACACAAGCTGCATTTGAAATGACAGAATCTCAATTATGTTGAGGCCAAGGAGAAACAATTACCTTTTGGGGTGATCTACTGAGGACCCTTGGCAGAAAGTGATAATCCATCATTCTTGGCAAAAGCCATGAGAATTCCTGCTCAGGCGTTTGGACAACATTCATTTAAACAAACATTTATTGAGTACCTGTCCTGTACCAGGTATGTGCAATGTGCTGAGGGTGAAGAGGTGAATCAGAAGATGCAGCGTTAGTGGGGGAGATGGACAAGTTAACAAATTCTAATGATACAATGTGACAAGTGCTATAACAGGTGAGAGAGAGAGAGAGAGAGAGAGAGAGAGAGAGAGAGGTCTGTATGGGCATGATTTAAGTATTATAGAAGCATAGAGCAGAAAGGAACTTATTCTACTTAGTTGAAAGAGTTGTTTAATACTTGATTACGTTTTTGGAATGACTGCCACATGCATTATATGAGTTTATGACCATGGGAAGTTGTGACCCCTTTTTGTACAGAAGGAGAGGTTAGGTGAATTCCCCGAGGTCATGCAGCTAGGGGTAATAATTGCAGACATTTACTGAGTGCTTAGGATACCTGAGGCTCTGTGCTAAGCTCTGTTAAGACATTTAATCTTCACAACAATTCAGTGAGGTTGTTATTGATATCATCACCATTTTACAAATGAGAGAACCAAGGCACGAGATTTAAGTAACTTGCCTAGAGTCCCATAGCTAGAGAGTGGCTTTAACAGGCACACATTTACCCACTGCATTACATTGCCTTTAACTTGTGCCCTGAAGAGGCGGAGCTCACACTTAGATTCTGACTCCAAATTCAGCTTCCTCTCCAGTGACCTTGCTCTTTAGCAATATTGTACCCAGATGAAAAGAAATGGGGTGTGTGTGTGGGTACAAGGAGAGAGTGCGTGGGTGGGGCATCCCTGGAAGTGATTGGGAGGGGCACCGGTAAAATCTGGCTGACACGCCAGTTGTGTAAGCAGGGTTTCTCGGGGCAGCCAGAACGTGGCCTGTTGTTCTCCAGATCAGCGGTCTGGGCTCCGGGGACTATGATTTGTTACTCATGGGAACAAGCCACCAACACTTGCCCAGAGGCCTTTTAAAATCTAGTTTAAATTTTTCTAAAAGAAGAAAACAAGATGTAAAACATTAAGAATGAAACAAGTTAAATTCAATACCTTATATATAAGCAAGAACAGAGATACAGAAAAGGAGAAACGAGGCACAGAATTGCTTAAATTGTCCCAGCTTTCTCTCCGTAATAAAAATTCTTGGATTGAAAAATAGCTCAATCGAATATTACTGTGTCTTAATAATGAAGCTGCATTGGCTCTGTGGCAGATCTCAGAAAGAACTGGTATTCAAATGAATGAACTGGATTACCCTTCCCTCAGCAGTTACAACTTCAGCTGATGTGGACATGACCTATGCGATCAAACCTACTGCTTTTTTAAGACATCCACCTCCCATAAATGTTGGAGATCCGGGCATTTAAAAATCAACTGCAAGCTGGGGTTTCTGTGGTAGGCGGAGAGGCAGAAAAGGTCAATGTTCTTTGGCCTTCTTTCCTTCAGAGCAGGTGGGGGTTTTTGGTTTTGTTTGGTTTTTAGAATTTTGTCCATGTATAGAGACCCAGTAGATTCAACTGATTATCGTGGCCTTTGTGTTTATGGATTTCTGTTTTCTTGGCTTCAGGTCCTTGGAAACATTTGTTTTGAAGGTGGCAGGAGAGTTAGTCATGTTTTATTTTTGTTGTTCCTATTTATGTTTGAGATCCTTTAGTTTAAGTCTACTTCCAAAGTATTGTGTAACTGTATTTACGTCTCCACAAGTAAAATATTCCAGTAGTCACTTCTAGCACAACTTTATAGGAATACGTAATGATTTGATGTCCAGTTGATGCCCATCAGAACGAGTCTGTAGCATTAGAAGCTAGAACAAGGGTATGCATTGGAAAATTTATGTTTGGGATTTATAACTGGGCTTAGCATTAAACATGTGAAGTTTCAAGTTTCTTAGATCAATTATTTTTGAGTTACCAAGCAGCCAAATTCTTATAAACATATTTTTCCTTTCCATTACTGAGTCAACAAAAGCTGGAAAACTCTTTTCTCACATGTTCCAGTCTTTAACTCAGCCTGAAGGTAAATTGCTTTTTAGAAACCACATCCCAAACAAACAGTTTTTCATGAAGTTATGAGTAAATGAATAGAGTGGGCTCTACTGGCATTTGGGATGTACGTCTAATTAGAACTCTCCGTATTTCAAACATATAATTTACTAAAGTTGGGGTTTTTAATTCCTAGCTTTGAGTCCGCCGGGATGAAACAAGTGACCCTTGGTGGAAATATGTCAAGAATCAACTTTCTCAGGTTGACTTTTTGTTTGCTGGTCACCAAATCGA